TCCCTCTCTAGCCTATCTGATGCCACCGGGATCTAAACAATGGATGTGATTGTATCACTCCCTGCTGAAGAATTTCAAGGGCTCCCTGTTGTTTCTAGAACGATTTGAGCTCCTTAGGCTAGCAAATAAAGTCCTCTACAATCTGGCCCCATCTACCTTCTTTGTCTAGGTTCCTTGACCTTCTACATTAGCCACTGTGAAGACTAATAGTACAACAGCAACAACAGCCTACACTTGCCTGCTGTTGTTACCTGCCTGGCCGTGTCCTAAGAGCTTTATACATATTATTAGCTGGTTCATAACAGAAAACCGCTGAAAGTCTTACACTTCCCAGAATGGACTATATCCTATCTTGCCTTCAGAACTTTCCACTCACACTTTTCTTGTCCTGGTATCCAACTGTCCTGCCAGCCATCTGATACATATTTACTGACCATCAACTTGTGTCAGGCACTATACTAAGTGAGACACAGTGCCTGAGTCTAGCACAGGGGACAGACACACACAGAGTTGATAAGGTAAGTGCAGTGACAGATGTGATGGGAGCACAGAGAAGGAGCCTCTAATGCAGCCCGGCATCTGCCCCACCTGGCCAGCTGGAGCTTTACTCTTCCAAGAAGCCTTCCTGATTTTACCAGGCTGGGTGAGGTCCCTCCTCTGAGCCTCTGCAAGTCCCTTCTCTGTCCATGTTACACACTGACCACTGTGTATGGGGCGTGATTATGTGGCTGTCCCCTCCTTACTACAGTGAAGGCAGAGAACAGTCTGCCTCATCACTGACCCACACCCAGAGTGGCCTGGACCCAGATCCTTAGGATTTGCTGAATGGAAGGAAGCTCTTGAGGAATGAAGAGTCACAGGAGGGCTGTCCTTCTTCCGAGTTGCTCCCTGACGCTCTCCCCACAGTCAGGCATACACTTGTCTCCTTGTTGGACCTGGCTTGCCTGCTCAGCCCAGAGAGCAATCCTCCGCAGGAGTCAGGCCCTTCAGACAAGGCCAGGGCTGCTGTTGCCATCCCTGGTTCAGGAGCAGCCTGGTTGGAAAGGCCATGCAGAACGCCCCCCAGCCGGGCTGGAACTGTCTACCCCAGGCTTCTGAGGAAGGGGCAGTATCTGGGACAGCTCTAGTTGTGGGGGTAAAGGGGAGGGGTCCTGCAGCAGCCCTCAGAGTCCCTGGGTGGCAGAGGTGGGGCGGGGGTGTCGCTGAGCTTTCCTTTGGTTCCTGAGACCTTTCTACAGCCTTTGGGCTATGAGATAAGTGGACGATGTGATGGAGGACTTTAGGAATAAACAACTATGGAGCAGGATCGAACTAGAGGTGTTTGAGAAGTATTCCAGAAAAACTTAGGGGGTCTGGCAGCAGCTCAGTCTGGCCCCTTGGACCCTTCCTTGCTAGATTAACATAGCTCTTTTGCCCCAGAGCTCCAGAGGGGCTACAATTCTCAGGGTAAGGAGGGGAACCGACTTTCGGACTAAGACCCCCCTCAGACCCCTGGCAGAGTGACCGAGGAGCTCTGGCCCCCAGCCTCTGCTCCTTCCCATGGTGTGTATCTTGGCTGTGGTGCCTCTGTGGAGGTGGGGCTGGGGGCAGGGAGCCTTGGGGGCTGATGCTAAGAGCTTTGCACAGGGTGGGAATTTCCAGCCCTATCTAGGGAGCCATCAGTGTTGTGTGCCCTGACCTGGGCCTTTGGCCTCCAAAGGGCAGTGGGAAGGCCAGCCCCAGGGCCAATCCCTGGCCATTAATCCCTCCTGCCAGTCCAAATATCCACCCAGCATGGTCAGACAAAGGACTGCCCAGTCCAGCCTCTGTGTTCCTCCTGCCCCAGGGGCTCCACTCAGACACTGGGCCGCCTGGAATTCAGGCCCATGAGAAAGGGGCTGCCTTCACTGGTCGTCTTATGCCCGGATGCTCAGCCACATCCCGTCCGGCCCAGGGCCTATGAAAAGAGGGCCCAGCCACGCTGAAAACACGGATTAGCCCTTGGGCTACCCCTGACACTGGCCTGCTCGGCTCTGGGAAGCAGGCCCATTGGAAGGGGCCAGGCAGGCACCGAGAACTGATAAAGTCTGGGTTCTCACCCCTTTGACCCAGCTCCCCGCCTCCGCCCACCCCAGAATTAGCACAGCCAAATGCACACTCAGTATCATTTATTGACCACATACTATGTCCCAGGCTTTGTCCATGACACAGAAAATTAAGAGTACAAGAAAAGTGTAGTCTGATATGGAGGTAAAATGAGCTGTTGTCCCTCCACTCCTAATTTGGACACGTGAGACAGAGGCTGTGGTAGGGGACTGTGGTAGGGGGCTTCCAAGGGGACTTCAGCCCTGGGGAAGGTGGGAAAGATGGTAGCTCCTGTTCTGTGCCTGAGTCTAACTGCAGCATTACGCCGTGCCCATTTGACAGTATGCAGGCTCTGAAATCACTTCTTCGGCTCTGCCTCTCTCCTGCATCCCCTGGTTTAATTCTGGATTTCCTATTACCAAGTACAGTGTGGGCCAGGCCCTTTCAGACATGATCTCGTTTAAACCTCATAACAATGCTGAGGGCTCATTACTGTCCCCATTTGGCAGGTGAGGAAACTGAGGCTCAAATGAGCAACTGATCCCAGGTCACTCAGCTTGGGGAGCAGCATCCCGTCACCACAGTTGCCTGTCTTGTCTTCTCTGGCGAGCTGCTTGTTGTGACAGTACCACCTTGTGTTCCCTACGACCTGTGCAAGGTCGGGAGGGTGTGGAGTGGGACCTGCTCATGTATAAGCCAGCTGACTCTTCACGGTTGTGGGATAGGGGATTGTTTTTAGATCTCCGAGTGTCATTTCCCTCCGCTTTGCTTCCACAGCCCCCTCTACCCACCTGTCTCATAGCCAAACTGTCTGTGTCTCTCTCTGCACCAGACTGTATCTTCAGCTCTGTCTTCCCTGAACGCTGGCAAAGGGACTGGTGGGGAAGTGCTTGAGGAATGACGTGGGCTAAGCTGAGGCAGGAGAATGGATTTGGAATCCATGTGGTTTCGGGACTTGTAGATTAGTTGGATACTGAAGTGGTAGGGGAGGGAGGAGACCAAGATGATGACCGTATTTCTGATCTGGGTGGTGCGGAGCAAGGGGTCCATTGGCTGAGATCTGGATGCACAAAGGAGAGCAGGTTGGGGGTGGGGGTTATGCAAGGGTGAGAATGATGTACAGTGGACACTTGGAATATGCCGACCTGGAGGTCAGGACAGAGGCTAGGCATCAACTTTGCAACTAAAATTGTGAGGACTGGAAGAACTCTGTAGTAAGTTATTTCTACAGTCTCAGATTTAAAACATGATGTCTTTAGAAGGGCTGTGGTGCTGGTGCTCTGAGCTCTGGGGGTCCTTCCAGCTCTGCTACCAGCTGTGTGAGGACAGGGAAGTCACTCAACCCTCAGGTGTAACAGTGTCTACTGCACAAGGTGTTCACACTTCAGCAAGATAACAGGTATAACGTGTTTACCACATACAAAATGCTCAGTAATGATGGCTGTTAAATTATCAGCTGAGACTGGAGCTGAGAGAGGGGGGCCCTTCAACTTCAAGCATGGATACTGAAGCCCTGGCCCACAGGCCCACTATACCCAGGGCCAGAACTAGGGCGAGGCACCTAGGGGTCCCCATTTAAGGAAGCTGGCTCTCAAGTACTGACCTGGCACTCACACCACCCTGAGAGTGAGTGCCCCCTTAAATTTGCCTTGGGAATGCCACTTACCTGTCCTACCCCAGCCCTGCTCCCTCGATCTTGCCTGTACCCACGACAAAAACCTCTTTGAGACAAGAGGTTTTATCCTCCTTTATCTTTTGGTTTCCTCCAAGCCAGGGCCTCCTCTCCAGTCATTTTAGAAGGTTTTCCTGAAATAAGCTCTGGATGGTGGTGGTGAGTAGCACTTCCCAGAGTGAGCTTTTAATGAAAACTTCTAAGACATCTCTCCCTCTCGCCCCCCCTGAGACCGAGTGTAGCATTTCTGTGCCAGCAAGCAGATCTCTCAGACCTCCCGTCTGTGGAAGCACTAGGGGGTCTTTTCTCTGAGCAGTAACTGCCCCTTGGAACTTTGGGCTGTGCAGGCCTGTGTTCTGTGCACCTTCCCAGTGTGCAAACTGTGCAGGTGTGAGCAAGGGAGCTCTTTTTCTGGAATGGAAGGGACATGGAAAAGAGGCAGCCAGAAAGGCAACTCCAAGTTAAGGATTTGTGGGACTGTTAATTTAAAGCAGTCGATCTCCCGCCACTTTTTAAAGGACACTCACAAATGTCCTGGTTGGAAACAGGGTTGTGGCGGAGCCGGGAGAGAGAGGAGATGGTGACTGTGGACCCCCCAAACATCCTCCGCTGAGACAAAGCCAGGGTCTTCCCTCCGCCCTTCTCCCCGTTCTGCCCGTCTCCATCTCCAAATGTCTGAGTGTGCGCGCACACTGCCCTGACCAGCACTGCGTTAGGACACTAAGGCTGGCAAGGCGGCCTGGGGGGGCTCTCATCTCCGCCCCAGTGGGGGTTGGAAGACAGAGAGGAGGCTAGAAAGATGCAGGAGACAGGTTCAACTGGAAAAAGAGTAATGGGGAGGGGCCCAGAGAGTGGGCTGAATGGGTGGATTTGTGATTGGCATTGACTAAAAAAGGGAGGAGGTTTAGGAATACGGTGAGAAAGAAAAGGGAGCTGACGAATTCGGTGGAACCCATGAGTTGCCAGGGACTGATCCGTGGGATATGGGGAGGGGATGAGCCTGGGTCTGGGAAAGACCGACCCAAAGGGAGGAAACCAAAGGAGGGGCAAATGTAGGACCGGGGACCGGGAGCCTGGCTAGCGGACAGGGAAAGCAAAGTAGGGAGGGACACGCGGGGCCGGGGGGAAGGTCGAGACTTTTGGTCAGGGGGCGGAGGAGGGGAGCTGTGTCCATATAAGGCGGCCCTGCAGCCCCTGCTCCCTCGGAGCAGCGCAGCGCCAGCTGGGGCTGCGCCGTCCCGTCCCGAAGACCCGGCGCGGCGAGATGGAGTCCCCCACCGCCTTCTCGGGCTTCCCGATCCTGCCCTCGGTCGCGCCGTCGGGGCCGCCGCCGTCGCCGCTCGCCGGAGCCGAGCCCGGGCTGGAGCCCCAGGAGGGGGCCGCGGGCCGCGGGGAGCCGGGGCCCTCACCCGGCCAGGGGCGACGACGGCGGCGGCCCCTGCAGCGCGGGAAGCCGCCCTACTCGTACATCGCGCTCATCGCCATGGCCCTGGCGCACGCCCCCGGCCGCCGCCTCACTCTGGCCGCCATCTACCGCTTCATCACCGAGCGCTTCGCCTTCTACCGCGACAGCCCGCGCAAGTGGCAGAACAGCATCCGCCACAACCTCACGCTCAACGACTGCTTCGTCAAGGTGCCCCGCGAGCCCGGCAACCCGGGCAAGGGCAACTACTGGACGCTGGACCCGGCGGCCGCCGACATGTTCGACAACGGCAGCTTCCTGCGGCGCCGCAAGCGCTTCAAGCGCGCGGAGCCGCCCGCGCCCCAGCCCGACCCGCCGGGGCCCGCCCCGAGCGCGCCGCCCGGGCCCTACGCGCCCTTCCCGCCGGGCCCCGGGCTGCTCGCGCCGCTCCCGCTCGCCCCCGGGCCCGCGCCGCCCGCGCGCCTCTTCAGCGTCGACGGCGTGGTGAGCCTGCCGCCCGAGCTGGCGGGGCTGGCGGCCCCCGAGCCGCCCTGCTGCGCCGCCGCCTTCCCGCTCCGCGCGGCCGCCGCCTCGCCGCCGCTCTACGAGCCAGCGCCCGACCGCCCGGGGCTGCCCGCGGGCGCCCCCGGCCCCGGCCCCGGCCCGCTTCCCGCCGAGCCCCTGCTGGCCTTGGGGGTGCCGCTGGGCGCGCTCGGCCCGCTCGGCCCGGGCGAGGCCTACCTGATGCAGCCCGGCTACACGCCCGGGCTGGAGCGCTACTTGTGAGCCCTTCCCCAGCGGCTGGGGCCACGTGGGGGTCCTCTCACCCCCAGGACTGGGGTGCTGCCTGGGAGGGGTCCCTTCCCCTCTTGGCTTGTGCCCACCTCTTAGCTCCCCATCTTTGCCTCTTGGACCGAGCCCACCTGTTACCTCTTTCTCTGTAACCCATCTATGGGGAGAATCCTACCATCTCGCAATCGGACTGACTGCCCCTCACATCTCCCCAATATGTGAGCCCCTCCTTTCTTCTTCCACTCTGAGCCCCCCTAAGCGCCCCACCCCGCGCCCCCGCCCTCACCCCGCGCTGTTGTCGGTGCGGGACCCTGAGCTGGATCGCTACCCACGAACCTCCACCGCAGGTTTCTGGTGAATTCCAAGCCTTCAGAAGCCAGGCCTTCCTTCCATCTCAAGCTGCCTCCAGGACTGGCTCCTTATCTAAACATTCCCTCCAGTTTTGACACTACATTAGAGGCCAGACTCCTGGGTTCGTGACTCCCTCGCTCTCTTCCCTGTATTTTCCGCAAGTTTATTCCCACCCCGGCTTAGCTGCCTGTCCTGTTTCTTCCTGGGAGAGTGCCGCCCCTCCCACACAGCGCGCCTGGCCGCGTGGGGTCAGGCCCTGAGGCCGCTTCTGAGACCAGCAGCACCAGGGGCTCCTGACCGAAAAGGAGTGAGTAGGCTCCCCACTATCTGAAGATTTAGGCCTGACTCATTAGGTTATTACTATTTTTTTTTAAATTAAAGCTGGTCTGATTAAAAAGAAAGAAAGGTTTCTCTGGGCTCGGTGTGCTGGCTGGTGCCTGGAGTGGGGGGAGTGGTCTGGGGAGATAGTGGGTGAGCTTTGTTCAGGGTCTTTGGTTGTCACACAGCGTGAGCCCCTCGTGGGTCATCAGGCTCATGAAATAGGGTTAGGATGGGATTGACCAGAGCTGTGCACCTAGTAAGCCCAGTAGACGCCACCACCTGCTGCACCCCAGAAGCTGGTGGAGATGAACTGTGTGTGCACATGAGAGTATTTGGCCAGTGAGTTTTGGGCTGTGTGATTACTTCCAGCTTCCACGGGTGAGGGAGTAGTGGCCACTCCTGCAGCTACTTATTGAGTGTGCTAGGCTTTGGGAATAAATGCATCACTAACAAATGGGCAAGATCCCTGCCTTATGATGGTTAGGGACCAAAGGGGAAGAGACATTGCCAGTCACTCCTCAGAGAAATGAGATAAGTGCTCTATAGCCTTGGACCCGAAGTGCAGTCCATGAGCTTTCACCTTATTAGACATGCACAGTCTCAGGCTCCCCTCCAGACCCACAAAATCATCACATTCTGCATATTAACAGAATTTGCTGGTGATTAGTATACAGTATTCTGGAGAAACGGCACTGGGTGTAAAGCTCCCTATTTAAAGAGTGGGACCAGGCTGCAGAACCTGGTCCTCTGCACTTGTGGAGGCAGGCACTGCACCATCAGCTATGCCCCTCGCCTTTAAATTGGGAGCTGGGACAGCACGGACCTGAGCTGATTCACGACTGTCCCCAGCACCAAGGACAGGGCAGCGGCGAGTGGAGACTCGGTTGCTGAGTGAGGGGGAGGGAGGATAGGGCTGTCGATCCTGTCCAGCTCTGTGGTGCTGACCCAAATGCTAAGCATAAGGCTTTCCCAAACTCCTCTGCCCCAGACACCCAGTCTAGTGGGCTCTAGATTAGATGTGGAAAAGGTGGAAATGGGATCAGTGCATCCTAAGCCCAGGGCAAATGTGATTTGCACGTTGGGCATGTCTGATGCACATCTCGTAGATCTAAGAGTTTAAAGCTCTGGGTGGTGAGGCAGGTGAGGGTGGAAAGCTGGCAGCTCATGGAAAGGAAGGGTGCAGGACACCTGAGGAGGTGGGGACGCTGTCTTTGGAGGTGGGACAGTAGGTCTGCACAGTCTGGTATGAAACACCCTGGTTAGACTCCCTCCCCAGCTGTTAACCCCTTTGAGAGCAAGAGTCAGAATGCATTTGCTTGATGCATAACAGCTTTCACTTAATGTTGTTGAATGGTTGGCTGAATGAATGAATCCCTAGTGTCTATTGTGTCTGACTTACTGGATAATGGCTGGGTTGACAGTACTTTGGCACATTCTTACTCATTCTCACTTGCAAAGCTCACAGTGACTGGAAAAAAGAGGCAAAAGAGGTGGAGGTGGAGGCTATTTCCCCACTGGTCCAGTGAGAAGATTGCCCCTCTCAGGCCCAGCAAGTAGCAAAGATTTGACCTGGTTCTCTAAGGAGTACAGCTCCACAAAGATCAAAATGCAAACTTTGTTTCTGCTTCGAATGGTGTTACAGCCTCTCCTCCTGCCTCAAAGCACCTCTTGATAAACTTCCAAATCCAACAAATTTCCAGGGAAGGAGAGGATGCTTCACACTCCACTGAAGCCAGGAAGTGCTCCTCGAGCTCTAAACTTCATTCTCCCCACCACCCTGGAGCTCTCTGTCCCTGGAATCTTGGAACAAGGAGAAGGTGGTGGGAAGTGTCTGCATGGAAATACTAGGGAGGTCACCACTGAACTGGAAAGTCAGAAAGATTTTATTTGGAAGTGCCTCTTTAATTTTCCCTCATTCAACAGCATGGAGGGCTCACTGTGTGCTGGGCCCCGTGCTGGGCTCTGAGGCCCATACACATACAAATAAGAGACTGTTGCTGTTGTCAGAGTTCATTATCTGGAAACCTAAATGAGGAAGGACCAAACAAACAGACCCAGAATTATCTCCTGGAGGGCAGGCCCCTTAGAGTACAGGCTTTCCCCACTAGGTGAGCGTTCTAGGAGCCCTTCTGTATCAGTGCACCACTGTCACTGTTGGGAGCAGATGCATTTGGCTTCAGTGAATTTTTTTAGAAGACTCTTTCAATGCATTTGCCCATTTCATGATGGGTGATTTACCAGTTCACTTGCCCACACTCTGCTGAGTGTTTCAGCTGTTTTTGACCCAAAATGGCATGACCACCATGGCCTACCCTCCTTATTCACCTGATCTTGCCTCAAGCAACTTTTTTTGGTTTGTTTCCCTGATAAAAAAAAAAAAAGTCCTCAAAGGGAAACATTTTGCCAATGTGAAAGAGGAGAAACAAAAAATGGTAGAAGCACCAAAAGATAACAAAATTGATGAGTTAAAAAACTGTTTTAAACAATGGAAAAAAAAGTCTCAACAGGTGAATTGCATCAAACGGAGAGTACTTTGAAGGTTGCTGAAGTTTCAACATGTAAGACTAAATACACAATTTTTTATAAGTGAAGTCCAGTTTGGGGGAGGTCCCCCCTCATCTGTCCTAGCGCCCTAAGAATCGTGACACTTGGGTAGATGTTGAAAACACAAAACAAGGCTCTACCCCTACTCTGTTTTTACAAAGCACTAAAGCACTTTTTATCTAGAAGCAGGATTTCAATTTGGAAGTAGTATTTTCTTCCCTTAAAAAGGAAGACATTATTAACAAGTAATTTTTGTTTTGATTGCATTGAAACAGGCAAATAATCTGACAGGTCAAAGAGCAATGACAGGGTCTTAATGGTGCCTTGTCCCCTTCTCAGGAGCCTGGTGTGTTCCCTAGAAGCATCTACTTTCAATTCGTATCTGCCTCTTTTGGAATACACTTCCATATTTCCATGCATACACTCCTCTCTTGAAATAGTAGTGATTAACTTTCTATCATTTACCTCTAAAATCTGTATCTCTTCCAATTCCCACCCAAATTACCAAATTTTAGTTAAATTAGTGTCTAGCATTTACATATTAATGCTATATAAATATTGTTCTCTGATACTACTAGTGTACCATGACCAGAATCCCTTTGGATGGGCAGTTGCAATGTTTTATTTTTCCTGGAGTTTAATGCCTTGTGTTTTCTTTTGCTTCCATTTCTCTGCACCCATGGCTAAATCCTCCCTAATTTTCCTGAGGTCAAGCTTATCAGGAAATGCATCATTGCTTTTGGTGGTTGTGTTTCCTTTCCTGGGGGCGCCCTCCCCTGGCCCTGGTCCTCCAGCGCCATGTCTGCTGCCCAGATGTGGCCCTGTTCCCCGTCACTGTTTTCCTTGGAATGCCCTTCATCTCTGTTCTGTGTTGGATGCGCTGCTTCCTGGATGCCACGTCTTCCTTTCTCTTGGTTTATTTCTTTGTTTCAGTCAAGGTCAGTTTGGGGGGGAAATTTTGCACATCTGAAATTAAGATGATTATTTTAAAGTGAGAAGCTAAGCGTGCACTTTGGCAATGAAATGGTTGAGTTAATGCTGTGTTTTTGTAGCCTTTTCTTCTTTGGGGGGTGGGGGCTGGGGAAGAGGAGAATGGGAGGTTGTTTTCTGGGTTCAGTGCACACTAACTCCTAGGAAGGTGGGAAGGTGGGAAGGTGGGAAGGTGGGAAGGTGGGAAGGTGGGAAGATGACTTGGTGTTATGGAAACAAGCCCTAAGAGTTTTGGTTAGAGGATGGAAGCAGGGGAATAGTTCTGAGTTCCTTACAGGAGTAGGTGAGCTGAGAGGCCTACTTTCTGATTTAGGGGGCCTTGGAGCACAGGAAGGATGATTTTGGGCCCAGGGTGGTGCTGAGCTGGTTAGAAGGCCTGTTGGAAAGAGGCCGAATCACCCTGGCACGTGGAAAAATCAAGTCTAGGAAAGTGACATCCTTGGCAGAAACACCGGATGCATAACAACAGAGAGGCTCCTTCAGGCAATTTCGAGAGCTGGGAACTTCACTGGAAGGCAGGAGGGAAAATAAGCAACTCAGAGATCTCTTCACTGCAGGGGTTGGGCCGGCTGTAAGCCAGGTTAAATACCTCTTTGGGTGATCCTAGAAGGATGGGGTGGGGATGGGGGGAGATTTTACAAGATACAGGAGGCTACAGTAATCTCCTTTTAAAGGCAAAAGATTCTGTAGACCTCCAGTACTGACTTTAATTTTTTAAATTGTAATTTCATTTAGTATGAGCAGATATAAAACACTTAGGCTTATATTTCTTATGCAACTATAAAACA